ACCGGTTCCTCGACTGTGCCCTTCTTAGGCGGAAGTGGAGCAAGGGACGTTTGAGCCCGTTTTCTTGCTCGAGTCAGCATAACTGCAGTTTTCCCAACCAACCGCGATGTCGGGGTAGAGGTCCGTGACCGTCCAAGAATCAAAACAGACCACCTAACCTTAAAAGAAGTGACGGAGACTTTCGTTTGGTGGTGACTACAACCAATACCTTATAATATATGCATATGACAAACCTCGAAGACATCGGAAAAACTTACCGGACCAATGAGCAATGCTTTCTAACAATTTGAGCAGTGAAATAGTGGTTTTTACGCAAACTGATCCAGTCGTACTGACGTAGACGTAAACACCCCCTTCTGGACCGGCTGCCAACCTAAAATTTCAATGTTGCCAACTGTTGTTTTTTATAGTTACGTTTGCACTTCTCCCTTCACGTTTCGAACATTCGGGCGGATTGTACCATCTGTTTTTCACCGTAGGCTGCTTGCCCTCACGGTGCTTCGGGAAACGATAAAAACAGCAATCCGATAAAGCTGAAATGAGGTATTTTACGAATAAGAACAGGAGGAATCCCGACCGACGTCTGCTCCCGGACCATAACAAAGCCATGACCAAGCGCCCGGTTTCTCGCGTATCTCCGCTAAAACTGAAAAGAAGTCATAACTGTTCTATATCATTTTAAAGCTGAGAACCTCACAAATCTGGTACACGAGAAACCGTGTCGTTATGCGCCAGTGACCTGCGACTTGTTATGGTCCAAAAGCCGGGATTCCTTCTGTTCTTCTTTCGTAAAATACCTCATTCAGATAAATGCTTGGAACATTAAAACAGATTCTCTGCATTATTCTTATTTTTCGCCTGTCGAATTGTTTCATTCGCAAATCATTGGGGCCTGCGGGGCCACCTTTGGGATCCCATGAAACAAGGCGCTTCTCATAAATAGGGCGTAAGTATCGCGGCTTTCTCAAAGGAGCGTCAGCTTGAGTCTGCTCGCTAGCTTTTGTGCACTTGTAAGTCTCCTGCTTGCAATGTGACCATAAGAGTACGCATTGCTAAGAATTTTGCGCCTCAGACACGGAACACACCTCTACGCACCTCGTAAGCGTTACCCCCCCCCCCTACCCCCTAGATATTGTTTTTCGCATCCTCGTTGGGTAATTGGTTGGAAAAGAACGATATGATTCCCTGATACAAACGATAATATATTTCAATCGTAGGTGAAAGACAAGACAAATTATTCTAGTTTTTAGTCCAGATAGGAGGGTAAGGGAAATGTATTATTAGTATTGAAGATTAATGAAAAATAAACAACTAATTTCACAATCGAGAAATAGTGACCCAGTCGGCAGAATGCTGTAGTGGTGGGTCCAAGTCTTGCCGCATCTCCTGGTGGCAGCCAAGCGTACACCACGCGCAACGTTCATCTGTGTAGCAGTAGCTTAGCTCATGGGTGGAAAACTTCAGGTCGGGGTTCAAGGACAGGAGGTTCTGCACCGAGCCCTGGTGCAGTGCGTCGTGCGCACACTTGGCGCTTATTGTGAATACCTTGAGGGTGCGCAGGGCCGGCGCCTTGGCGGGCGAGATGCCGAGCAGGAAG